GCTTCATGTTCTGGAGTCGAAGGTGAGGTGAAGTTCAGGGCGTGTTTTACGGGGGTGTTGTCCGGTCCAAGCATGTTCGTTGGAGTGAGGTCGTTTCTCTGCGTGGTTTCATCAATGACTATCGGAGGGTCCTCCGTTACGCCCACCATAGATGTGTTTGAGTATTCCCACAGACAGCGCTAGTTATGGAGAAGTGATTTTGGAGATACTCTTCTGATCTTGGGGAGCGCTCGTGATCCTCCGATAGTCACCTGAAAAGAAATAAACACTCCGGTCGGGGGTGCCAGAATTAGCACTTCGACGGACAAGTCAATCACCAGCTCTAGGTTACTTGTATTCTAAGTTAAATACCACAATTATCACATACCTCTCCAAGATTGCAGGTCTCCTATTTATAGTATTCTCCTTGGGTCTGGGAACTTGGCCCACTCTAGCCCCTATAATGCATTTCTACACGACACTTATTAGTAGGAACGCCGGCTCTTATACTCGGCCCCTCAACTGGATAGAGTAAATGCCGAATAGAAGTCACGTTCGGGGCCGTCCTGTCCTACTCTCGTTGATCCAGAAGTTATTTGGCTCCCACAGAGATATATGGATATATAAGCTGTGTCTCAGAGTTGTTCAACCTCTAGAAAGGGAGGGGAGGCCCTCTTCTTATAGAGGATGCAATCCAAAGCTTCCAAGGGAAGCTAAGTAAATGATGAAATCCCTCCATACACATGTATGGAGGGCAGGTTTTGTGCTCACCAGCTGGCACAGCTGGCATGCACAAAGCCTAAAAAAGGTAAAGAAAAGGTTCAGGCCAGCAAAAGGGCCGGTCGACCAATATCTGTGGCCGGCCGACCACAAAAAGGTGTCGGTCGGCCAAACATTCGGCCGATAGCAACAATACATGGTTGATGGCATCATGCCATAGCCGATGGGTTTCAGGGATGGCTAACAAGCCACTTCCCATACTCAGAAGCACAAAACACAAGCCCTTGGTGCTCAAACAAAGATAAGACAGTCAGGTTGAGAGATCCTAAGGCACGGCGCGCAGCTAAGTCCTTTGGGAACTCAAAACGAACACGATCATGGATGATCATCGAGTGTTCCGACGATGACATCCAAGTCTTGAGGACGGTCAAAAATGGGGTGTCTACAGGCATACATAAACGGCTGAACAATTCAAGACATCATGTCCACTGATTAGCTAGTAAGTCTGATAAGCTTTCATTAGGAAAGGTTCAAAATCACAAGCTATCTATCCTGATGCAGGGTATTTCCTTAATGTACTCTCTCTTTGGCTGCATATTGTTACATGTCATTTTCGTAAATTTTATTTATGTGGGAGATTATTGGAAAAAATGAATTAAAATTTACTCCAATAGTTGTTTCGTGAGATTGAAGGATGTGTCCTTTTAAAGGGTTATAACCTTTCTGAAGAGTTACGGAGAAATCTATAAATTCCATCTCCCTCACTTTGATTTGGATGGAGAATTCGTTATTTCTTCTTCATCTTTGCATTTATTCTTCATATTTTTCCTGAGTATAATTTTTCTTATAAAGAGAGTGCATGCACAACGAAATTTGCTAGGCTTGCAATAGTAGTGCTGCTAGTACAAGTTATTGATCGTTGTATCATGGGAGATAGATGTCCATTGAATCCTAAGCACCGATGGGAGGACGAATCTGTCTTAAGAAAAGAGTGTCATACACTCGACTCGATCATGTTTTATCTATTTATGTACTGTAAGTTTTATTTTAGTTTTGGTTTTGCCTAAAAATCGTTTACATATTTTTAAATTAGATTTTCCATATAGTTTGGTATTATTTTTCTAACATCTTTTACCTTTCCTTTTTTCTTCTTCAATTCCCCTTTACAAGTTTCCATAGGTTATTGAGTCATTGTGAGCACACAACACAACAAAGTTGAGGACTATAATGAAGAGCATTCATTACGAATAATTGGCTTAGGAGTTTGTGTGCAAAGGTGATTGATATGTGTTCTTATTGGTTAATCCAATTATTTTTTCCGGTACTCATTCACCAAGTTGTAAGTATTCTCGCATTCTTTCCTTCTTCCTATGCTACATCCATTTTGATTATTTCTTTGTTTATTCTGAATTTTTTATTTTTATTTTTTTATCGAAACCCATGCACCAAAGAAAGTAAAGTCGAGATTGCAAGACTCTCAGGATTGCAAGGCTACCAGTGAATCATGCAAGCAGTAAATCTATGTATGTTTTTCTTCTATTTAATCTATTTGAATTAGAAATTAAATTTAAATTAATATTTTTTTATTGTTGACTTTGTTTTGCTTTGTATATATTCCCATACTACTACTTATTTGAACTAATTCTTACAACATTGCATTGTTGTGGGATAGGAAACTATAATGATTTTTCATTTAAAATGCTCTATTAGCTCTAAAAAATTTATCTAAATTTTTAATTTTTAAATTTTAGTAAATACACATGGCATAGAAATATTAGTCCATCTAAATATCTATAATTTTGAAAATTAAAAATCTGAAAATAAAATGTCAAAAATAAAATTTATCCATCTAATTTGAAAGTTAAAAACATTTAAAGGAAGTTCCAAATATAACTTTAGTCTTATTTAATTTCAAAATTAAAAATATTTACTTAAAAAAATAAAAAAGAATGGAAAGGCATAATTTTATGTCTTCCTATTCTATATTTGAGTGATTCTCTCATTTGAAACCCAAAAATTATGGGATAGTTTTCATAATTTTGAATTTTAAAATTTATTTCTTCACAGGTAACCAATTAGATTTTTTTTTCAATTTTTTAAATAAAAAAATTAGAAAAATTAGTTTGAGAGATTAGAGCACTCAAAAAATTAGTTTGAGGAGAATTTATTTATTTATTCGTTTAATTCGGATATTATGTAAGACACAAGAATAATAATAATTTTTTTAAATTGAAAATTTGATTTTAGGCAATGATCAATTTGAATTGATCTTCTTATATATATATATATATATATATATATATTATTTTAGGTAAAGATGTTATAAGATTTTGAAGAAATTTTATTTATTATTTTTTTAATTCAAAAATTATATGAACAGATTTGAATTGATCCTTCTTTGATTTATTGTAGGGAATGAAGGATTTTAGGTAAAGATTTTAAAATATGAACAAATAATTATTTAATGGGGGGTTTGGTGATAGACCCCTCACTATATAATTTATTTTTCAAAAGGATAAGAATTATATAGGTATTTTTAAAACCCCATAATATTTTAAAACTTGTTTCTTTTACTATATTACCCTCATATCTATCAGCTCTCTTATTAAGCCATCCTCATAGTGTATTTCAGAGTAAAATTTTACTTTGAAAGTACAATTTTACCCTAAATCATAGTAAACTTTACAGAGTAATATTTTACTTTGAAATTACAATTTTACTTTGAATCAAAATAAAGTTTACTATGATTGAACGTAAAATTTTAAATTTTGTACCATGAGTAAAATTTTAGTCTGAAAGTATAATTTTACTCTGAATCAAAGTAAAATTTTAAATTTTGTACCTTTTCCACTTCCACCAACCGATGGCGAACCAGATCTACGGACTTTGTTGGTGCACCATTGTTGCCTTTATATCTAAAGCCCTCAGATCTGAATCTCTCGCATTTTAACTTTCTCAAACTCGTTTTCATCATTTTCCTTCCCAACATGACAACACGAGGAATAGAGCAAAAACATGAGGGTTTGGATGTAGTGAATCTGAGAAGAGAAAAAAGAGATAGAGAGATTCGATGACGGTGCAGTGGAGGCGACATCGAGAACGGTGGTGAACCAACTGTGAGAACTAACCTTTGGTGGAAAAATCCAACCAGTGATGCACACTCTCTTCTCAACCTCGTCATTGGTGAGAGACCATGAACCGATGATAAATGATGCAGAAGATTGGGAAGATGAGAGGTTTTGTAGTCATCGCCAGCGGTGGTTGTGGTAGCGGAGGCGAGGTACTCGGTGAAGGATTAGCGGCGGCTTCTCGGTCGGGCGATGGGGGAGATCGACGGAGATTAGGAAAGGGAGAGGGTAGAATAGTCTGATAAAATATTTAAATAATAAATTTTGTCTTTTATACAAGATTTTATAATTACGAGGAAGTTTTGAAAGTATAATTTTTTTTTTGGTCCTTTTAACAATAAAAGGAAGGTAAGAGGAGTTTATAACCAAATTTTCCTTATTTAATTCATTTTTTTAAATTGGAAGGCCAACAAATTGTATTTCTATATTTGATTTTAGAAAAGGACGAATTTAGGCAATTATCTTAGAAGATGTGTTTAAAAAGATTTTATTTATTTGTTTGTTTAATTTAAAAAAAAATTATTTATTTATTTTTTAATTCAAAAATTATATGAACATATTTGAATTGGTCTTTTTTTTTAAATATATTTATTTAAGGGAAGGAAGGATTTTAGGTAGATTAACAAATAAATATTTAATTTATTTCTTTAAATTGAAAGTTAAACGAGCTATGATTATGTATTTGATTTTAGAAAAAGATGAATTTTAGACAATGATATTAAGAAATGGGTTTGAAAATATTTTATTTATTTATTTGTTGTTTAATTTAAAAATTATGTGAGATACATAAATATTTATTATTTTTTTAAATTGAAAAATTAATTTTAGGCAATAATCTTAGAAGATGGGTTTAAAAAGATTTTATTTATTTAATTTAGAAATGATTTAATTAAATTTCATTTAATTTAAAATATTAAAATTAAATTATTTATCCGTTCATAAGAAATGGAAGTAAAATTAACAGCAAAAGTAGGTGCAAAGGCAATACCGAGTTGAAAAAGTCAAGGGAGCTGACCAAAGATGGGGTCCCACGCACAGGTGACCAAATCAGTACTCTTTGCTTTTGTCAGAAATAAAGAAAACTAAAAAAAACAGCTGTAACATAAAAATCAAACAAACAGTCCTCTGACTAGCGCTGTGAAATTAAAGAAACAATAAAGACATCAAAGTCAATAAGGGAGGGAGGCCACACACAGCTTTGGTTTCACAGCGAATCCAAGACTACTACCCCCCTTCCCAAACAAAACCCAAATTGCTTTTACAAACCCGAACCCTTCAATTCCTTCCTAATCACACTGCATATATATTGTTTATTTGTAAAAAAAAAATTAGAAAAAAAAAAAATCTTTACTTGAATTGAATACATATCTATATTCTGTACGAGGACTCAGTCAGCAGCATAGAAAAACCCATATCTCCCTTTCCTTTTTCTTGTGTTTTCTTGTTATTGGTGGATCGGCTTCTGAATTCTCAGGTACCCATCTGTTAATTTTCTTGATTTTTTTAAAAAAAATTTATTCTGGGTATGTTTGTTTTGATGATCTGAATGATTTGAGTTGACTGATACAGCTTGTGAAATTCAGGGTTTTGTTTGGAAGAAGAGCTAGTAGATGTTGAGTTGGAGAGGTAGAAGGTGAACTGGGTCTGACTTTTTTTTATGGATAATTTATGTTGCTTCGGTTCTCAGGTGGGGATACTAAAACAATTTATGAATTTGTACTATCTTTTTTAGTTCCTGCATACTTTTTTGGTGAATTTTATGGTATGGTTGTTGAATCTCTCTCTTGAAGTTGATGATCCATTAGATTTGAAGGTGGGTTTTGTGTTTTGGAGATTAAAATTTTGGGGGATTGTCTGTTTATGGAAATTTTAATTAGGGTTTCAGTTGAAAAATGGGGAAAGTCTAAATTATGTTGGTTTGTAAGTTTAAATTGTATGGATTATCCTTCTCATAAAGAGATCTTGTGATGTCTTCTCTGGGAAGCTCTTCTGATTTGTGAAAGAAATCAATTTTCTTGAAAGGAGTTTTCTGATCTTTGCTGGATTTTGAGATTGGAACTATTGAGTGAGGGTGAGTTGTCTGTTCTTATCCCTAGTGCTATGTTTGGATCTTGGATTTATTTAGGGAAAGGAAGGTAATAAATTTAATTTAATTTTCTCTTGATCTTTTCCCTTTTCTTTTTTCTTTTCCTTTCCCTCCCAAAATCCCTCATCCAAACATAGACTAAGGGATTGCTAGTACTGTTTTTCCAGTATGTTGATTGATGAGGTAACTTGTGGCCATGAGGATATTTTCTGTGTTGTATGAACTCTTCTATTTCCTCCAAAGTATCCATGTGTTTGACTCCCGCGGTACCCAATTTAGACACTTGGATCCTTCAATTTTTCACAAAGTTTGAAGAATAAGAAGCTTGCATTTGCTAGAAAAGAAACATTTATAATCTATAACATAGATGAAAGATAAAAGTTTCACTTTTTTATTATTTATTTATTATTATTATTATGAAGAAAAGTTAAATAATTTCGAGTACATTTCTATATAATTTAGAACATCTCATCGAAGAATATTATATAATATGTAATATATGTGTGCGCATAACAAATCTCTATACCCATACCCAACACTTTTACCTAAGTCCATGTAACATAGGATATTTGTGGTTTGATCATATGGATTTACAAATTGTTACTCTCATTTTTTTTTTCACTTGAAGATGTTTGAACAAACAGTTAGTGGGACAGGATGTTGTATTTCTGTTATGCAAGGTATGTTTTAAAGCTGAATGTTTTCTATCACTTCAGTTCTCAGGGGGACGATCGTCAGGTGGCTCTGGCAAAGGAAGAAGCCATCAAGGGCCTATCAAGTATGGGTTCAATCTGGTAAAAGGGAAAGCAAATCATCCCATGGAGGATTATCATGTTGCTAAATTTGTTCAATACCATGGACGTGAGCTTGGACTATTCGCTATTTATGATGGGCATTTGGGAGATAGTGTGCCTTCCTATCTGCAAAAGCATTTGTTTCCCAACATTCTAAAGGAGGTGGGTTGTTGGTTTGAAATCACTTTGGGTTTGGCCATTGCTTTTTTAGTAGCTTTATGCGGTTGGTAATTGCTAAAAAGTTGTTCTGTTGGGTCTTTTCAAACTTGCTTTTTGGTGAGAAATTATCATATCACCCTTAGGCCATGTTTGTTTGGGTGGACTGGATAGGTTAGATTAGTAACTAATAGTCTTAGACTACGAATCCCTTTAAATTGTGTATCCTATCCTATGTTTGGATTGAGTTAGAATTATAAGGAGGGATTAATAAAATATTATCTAATTCAATGTTTGTTTAAGGGGATGGGAATGGATGAGACATGACAGGACATGAGACATTCAATATATTGACTGTAATACCTCTATTATGGTTATTTGACAAGTTAGTCCAGACTTTGATTTAGTCCCTTAATTTATATCCCACCCCCTATGTGGGATCAAATAGTCTATCATATATGGGATATTATATCCGAATGGATTGTTAGTCCGCATTTCAATTTTTAACCAAATATCGGATTAATAATTTTATTGGACTATTAGTCCAATCCCAAGCACATTTCTGCCCAAACAAACATGATCTTATAGTATTGGGGAGCCTCTGCAAGGATATAGTGGAATTTTTGAAAGTATTGAGGTAAAATCATCTTTTCACAAATTTGATAAAAAATTTGCTTTTTTATGGAGAAGTAACTCTAAACAGGCTTATTTGCTTTTGATTTTTTTAGCAAAAAAACTGCTTATTTAGATCTACTCAATCAGGACCTTAATATGTAATTAGGATTTCTATTATGGTTTCGGACAACATATGCTATTTAACCATGTTTTCAAATCATTTCAGGAGGAGTTTTGGACTGACCCGAATAGGTCCATTTCTAAAGCTTATGAAAGAACGGATCAAGCAATCCTATCACATAGTCCTGACTTGGGTAGAGGTGGATCTACTGCTGTCACTGCAATTATTATAAATGGTCGAAAGCTTTGGGTGGCCAATGTTGGTGATTCACGAGCAGTTCTTTCAAGGGGAGGGCAAGCGATTCAGCTGACAATTGATCATGAGCCCAATACGGAGCGGGGTAGCATCGAAGACAGAGGGGGATTTGTCTCAAACATGCCAGGTTCAGTCTATGGCCTATTCTCACTTGTGTCATATCAGAAGCTAATCTTATATGCTAGTATAAGGCTTCTAAAATTAGGCAATCTCTGTGTGCTTGAATCTAGTCATCAATTCTTAAGCAGGATCATAATTGCATTTTCCCCCCTCAGGTTTTGGATTTATGTTATGAGTTTTAATGATGTAGGATTTGGAAACAACATGCATAACTTTCATTTTTCTTGAAGAAACTTAGTCTATAATCTTAATATATATGTATTAATTCACTAATAAAATATGTTCATATTTTGTTAGAAATATAAGAGTTCTAGTAGTTGGTGAAAATATCTTTCTCCTAATTTGGCCCCCCTCAAGTTAAATTCCTGGTTCTGCCCCTGGTTGTTGATCCAAAAACGAAACAGAAAAGCAGTTGGGGTGTTTGTCGTTTAGTGGAGCTGGTGGGTGAAGCAACTGGTTGAAGCCCATTTGGGAAGGGGCAATGAACTATTTTTTGGGAAGACTGAAGTGTAGCTTGAGATGATTGGAGTGTAGGTTTCTACAAATAAGGGATAGGTTTTGTGAGATTGAAGTGTGTGATACGAAGAAGAGGGGTTTGGTGACTGACCACTAAGCCAACCCTTATATAGACTATTCTTTTTAGATTAGAAAACACTGATGTTGTAATTTGTTTGACTTGCCTCTATTTAACATCTTGGAAATGGAACAATGCCTGACAAATGAGGAAGCACTTTGACTCCAATAGATAAGAATAATGGTGATTATTCTTAACTTCAGGTAACTCGTTCTGTTCCTTGTCTCTGGACTACCAACACCTTGCAGTAGGGAATTGTGTTTTCATGGTTGATTGTCCTTTGATGATATACCTTTAGTCAAGCAACAAGAGTTTACATAGTATAAAAATGGTTTTCAGTAAAGGCTTAAACATAAATTATGAAGAGGTATTTTCATGTTTTAATTATAAAATGTTATTTTTGTGTTCTCAGCCAAGAATGTACAAACTAAAAGTGAGATTGGAGGAATAATTAAAATTATCAGCAACAATCTGCAAAAGTACTACTTTTTATGTTTTCGTTATCTATGATAAGGACAGTATACATGCAAAATGTTTTATTTGAAATTACAGGGGAATATTCCATTGCTATATGATGTTTGAGTAGTTAAAAAATGATGTTGAAAAAAATGAATGAATGCAGTTGAAAGGAGTAGGTTAATAGAGGTGTTACCATAAGCCACCAGCTGTTAGATTGAGTTGTATCTCTTGTCACTGTCACCCACCCCCAATGGGAAGGTGCATGGTCTAAGTACTATGGGTGGGATACAGGGTTTGGTGTCTTACTTATCCCGAGGAAAAAAAGGGGTAAAGGTCTTTTCCAATGCTGAACACAATCAATGATAGAAGTTATTATACAATATGTTCCTCGGGATAAGCAAGACACCAAACCCTGTATCCCACCCATAGTACTTAGACCATGCACCTTATCATTGATTATTATACAATATGTTCCAGCCATTTGAACACAATCAATGATAGAAGTTGATATTTGGTATTGAGTTTTATGCTTTTGAACTCGGTTTTAAAATCTTTTCCTTTGGTGAAGATATAGATATCCTTACTTGTCTAAATTGCAAAAAAAATTTCGTTATCCTACTTCAGTATTTCGCTTTAGACAGACCCTAATGCAAATTTTAGCTGATCTCTGGTTTGTGTTCTTTTTACTTTTGAGTAATTGTTTTTGATAAATGCTGCACACTCAAGACCTTACTTCTATCCTTCCTGTTCTCTACTACTAAGTTTTGCATCTCTCGGAGAAATAGAACAAAAGTTACAAAATCCATTGAAGTTGTTCATTTCGAAAGCTAATTGCAAATTGGGGTCCTTGGTTTTTTTCACCTTTCATCTACATTTATACATCAGATCTTGAAATGGAATAATTCATGTACATTTTTTGGTATGGTATAAATAGTCATAAACACTTCTGTTGCATAATTTCAGGAGATGTTGCAAGAGTAAATGGCCAACTGGCTGTTTCTCGTGCTTTTGGGGACAAGAACCTGAAATCACATCTGCGGTCTGATCCTGATGTAACAAATGCTGATATTGATGGCGATACTGATCTTCTCATCCTTGCAAGCGATGGTTTATGGAAGGTGAAATTCTTCTCTCTCTCTCTCTCTCTCTCAACTAGTTTTAACCGTTAATGATTCAGACAACCGTCTCTAATTGGATTACATTAGCTGAAATTAGATAGTTTAGCGACTAAATAGACAATTAATAGTTTAAAGATGAAATAGAAAAAATGGTGATAGTTTACAAGATAAAAGAGAGATTAACCCTTATCTTATAGATACTGCCGTTTCTTTTTCTTATTTTGCTTGCAATTAATCCAGGTCATGGCTAATCAAGAAGCGGTTGACATTGCGAAGAAGATCAGGGACCCACAGAAGGCGGCAAAGCAACTAGTAGTCGAAGCATTGCATAGAGAGAGTAAAGATGATATCTCGTGTGTTGTTGTTCGTTTCGGGGGGTAAACGACGAGTATAATCCCGGCATGCAGGATTGTATATTAGTGGGGGGTTTTCTGTTGCGGGGATGCGATTCTATACTTCTAAAAAACAAGTTTTAAGCCCTTGTGGTGTCTGGCATGAGGATGGAAGTTATTCCAGAACAGGTTATATACCCCTTTCCTTTCGCTGGTCGTGTAATATGTAATTTTATTTTTGTACTCGGGTTGTGTGGTTTGTTGTTGCTCGATTTCTTTGTTACGTAGATTCATACCATTATTTTTGTATAATATGTGCAGCGACTGAAAAAGCTGTGCTGTCGACAGCCATGGATTCTTGTAATAACGAAATAGGATGTATGCATTTGTTGTGAATGGACAAAACTGTTGTCTTGTTGGTATATTACAACAACTGCTTGGTTGGAGATTGGATATGCTTCACGCCTGTGCTGATTGATGAGGGCATTATGAAGCTCTTGATACTCTTCATATCTGATGCTTGCTGCAATTTAAATGGGTTGCTTAAATTTTATTTATTTATTGTAGAGATTATGTGTCAGATAAGTTTGCTGTTGTTTTTACATACTGCTTATGCAGTAAAATAATTTGAATAAATTGGTTATTTTAAAGTTGGGTTGAGTTGTTTTTTTTTTTTGTGCAGCTCATGGAGTTGTACAAAATCATCATCATCTTCTTTCTTTATTTTTTTTTATCATTTTTTTATAAAGGGAAATTGAGACAGAGTTAACTGAAATAGTTTGAAAATAGTTTATTATTACGAAGTAAGAAAAAGAAGGTAATTTCTGTTTTATGATTATCAGTTTATAACTTGCTAGAAGTTGTCGCCAAACAGGGTGCAACACACAACAATTTGTGTCATTATGAACCTCATGGGGTTGCAGCAAAAATCTGCTATTTGGCCCTATTCCTCTATTTGTTATATGACTAGGCAACCTCATCATGATTACTATTTAAGTATTTTTGCTCTAAATTAACAAATAATTGGACAAAAATGCTATGACAAAAGTTGATTTGGTCTGTGCTATGAGTCAAGGAGCAGCTTGCAAAGGACGTAGTCTTATTGTCAATTTTTTGAAAAGTAAAATGCTTGGAACTTTTAAAGTTGGGGACTCTCATGATTTCTAAAATGATGCGGATTAATTATGTGTTTTTATTTTTTTATTTTATTTTTTCATTTTTTCCTGAACCAATCACAGGTGGGTAGAGGTTGCGGAGGTCGTGTTTTTTGAGTCTATAGTATTGTTGTTTTGGAAAATAGCTTTCACGTGGATCATTGTTTTTTGAAATCCAAAACTTAATTTTCCAATCGGACCACAAAGTGAGTTTTATTTATTTATATTTTATTTATTTGGGTTAGAAATTTAAATCCCAAACTCGATCAGAAAATCAATAGGCTTAAAACTAAGTAAGTTTGACTTGTAAGTCAAAATATCAATATTAAGCCCTATAAAAATAAGAATGAACTGAGCGGTCAACATGCATGTGTTCATTACTATTTTCAAGACTAACATCCAATAAATTATTTTTTGATAATTCATTAGGATATCTCATACTCAGCCCAACTCAATGAAACCTGAATTAACTAAAAGCAAGTCATGTTTTTTTTTTTTTTTATCTTCCCAAAATGATCACACAATTTTAATTAACATTTATTATTTATTTTATTTTATGGAATGACGTGGATGATTAATTCATCCTAACATAATTAACTAAACAAAGCTCATATAACGTATGACGGTTATAACTGTCTTTCATTCTTACATATATTTGTGTTAGAATTTCTAATTTTTCAAGATTTAAGAAATTTGGTGGATTTCAGGCTCAGATCCTTAAGGTTAAAAATAGGAAACTAACAAGCCCTATTCCTTTGGTAATATACCCCAAAATAATTTGTGGACTAGTTGTGTCTCTCGCCCTAGCCATTTGATCCTTGGAAACAAAAGCCACGTGGACCCACTATTTTAGAATTTAAGTTTGGGATTTTCTATTCTTTAAATAAAAATTATTGAGACTTTGAGATCTCAAATATACACAAATATCATGACATTTGGAAATTATATCAAGAATATCTCAAAATTTCATGAACATTACTAAATGAAATGATTTTGGCTAATATATATGACATAATTTTGTAAGACAAACTATTAATTAATCAACTTTGATAGAGACCCCCTCAATCACCAACCCCCACCCCCCCACACGTGGGGGTTGGTGATTGGAGGAAGAGATTTAAAAAAAAAAAAAGAAAAGAAATCTGGCCAATCACAGGCCAAGGGGGTCGTGGGGGTCACTATTTAGAGGAGTTCTGGAACATTTTTGTTAATTAATTTTACTAATTGTAACAAACGACATCAACAAATAAATTGAACTATGGAGAATGGTTTTCTTGCATTTGTCCTATTAAATTTTGAATCAACAACAAAATTATTTTTTTATCTTTTTTATTTTCCATTGCTTCTTTTTACAGGAAAAAAAGAACAAAAAAAATTAAAAGTTAAGAGAGTAATTGACTTGAAGTGCCAATTTCATATATCACCTGTCTTTTGCTAAATATATACCCACTTTCACAATTGGCTTCCCAAAGTTTGTCACTTCCTTTTGAACTTTTCATTTCTCTAAAAATTCCTCCATCCATTCCTTTACAACCCATATATGCTATAATATATATTTCCAAAATCATCCATTTCTAAATCTAACTCTTTCCTAGGATTGGTTTTACATGCAATGCCAACCCTAGAAAAGAAAAAGAAAATCACATCAACCTTCATATGACCAAATGATGAAGTTCTTGATTCAAAAATACATGTGGGAAGATTGAAATATTATATAGCATCCTCCAATTTGTTGATCTTGTTTGGTTGCATTTCCCTTTTCTTCTTCAATGAAAAGTTGAAAACTCCCAATATTTCATATAGTTTTCATTTTTGTGCTAAAATATTTTTTAAAAATTCGAAAACATGTCGGTGTTGTTTCCTAAATAGTGAGTTTGTTTTTACTGAAAATTTAAAAACATTAATATTTTCATATCAATTTCATCTTTGAAAAAAAAAATTAAAAAATTCGAAAACAAAACATCTTGTTGGTAGAAAGTGGGCTGCTTTATTTAAAAAAAAAAAAAAAAAATCAGAAACAATTCTGGGTGTTTTTTTATTGCTTTTTTTTGGAAACAAAAAGACATGAAAAAGTTAAAAACACCCACCATTTTCATTTTTATGCGAAAATAACTTTTGCAAATCGCAACACGTCTTGTTGCTATTTCTTGAGATGTGAGTTGTTTTAAAACAATATTTTCAAGCATAGTATTTAGAAACAGTTTGTCAAACAAATTCTTAGCGCTTTGAAGTTGAAAATGGCGAAATGCTTTAGCTTCACGGCATCTCGAGATTTTTTCTACCGGTACTTCTTTGCTTACACCGGCCTTCGCTCCGTGACTGCCGACCTCGGCGACAACACCGTGATCCACTGCTGGGTTCCCAAAATCCATATCCCCACAAAACCCACCCTCCTCCTCATCCACGGCTTTGGCGCCAACGCCATGTGGCAATACAGCGACCTCCTTCGCCACTTCGTCCCCCGCTTCAACGTCTACGTACCGGACCTCCTCTTCTTCGGCCGGTTCGTTTCCAAACTCTAATACTGTGTTGGGTTAGAGAATTTAGGAAGGTATTTAAAAAGATATTGGAAAAATGTGCGTGAAATTTAGGTGAAATGTAAGTATATTTTATTCACATTTCATCTATGTTTGCCCTTTCATTTTTCAAATCCTCAAATCAAACCCAAGGTAAGTCATTATAACTAAATCTACAATTTTGTCTCGTTAAAAATATAATAACATTGACATTTTCAATAACTAAAATATTTTGTCGCTAAAAATGAATTTGTTCCTAAATTTTTGTATGTTATTTCACTTGCATTCATTAATTATTTATATGTTATATATATATATATATATATATCTCCATTATTTTATTAATTAAAATTGTATTATTGTACGATATTTTTATAAAAATAACTGATAAAAGTGTAAAATAAATTATTAAATATTTGTTCAATGATAGATGATGTTCTTCATGGGTGTCTATGATGACCTTTGAAATTCATGAATATTTTAAATCTCACAAATTATTACTATTTTTTTTTCTTGTTTAGATGATAATTATTTGGGAGAATTATAGCCCAGTGAATTTTTTAATTTTTTAGGTAAATATATGGAAAAATTTAAAAGTTCAATTATTAATATTAATAAAGTTTACTACTGTATTAATGTGTATTTATTTCTTAAATTTTATTGCTTGATAATTTTATTTTTATTAAAATTCCAACAGCTCCTCCACGGGTCGGCCGGAGCGGAACGAGGCATTTCAGGCACGGTGTTTGATGAGGTTGATGGAGGCCCATGGGGCGGTGTCGGTGACGGAGAAGAAGAAGATGAGTTTGGTGGGGATAAGTTATGGTGGGTTTGTTGGGTATAGTATGGCAGTGCAGTTCCCGGAGGCGGTGGAGAGGATAGTGTTGTGTTGTACCGGGGTTTGTTTGGAGGAGAAAGATGTGGAGAGTGGGTTGTTTAAAGTGGCGGATTTGGACGAGGCGGCTAGTATTTTGATGCCCCAAACGGTGGACAAGTTGAGGGAGTTAATGAAACTTTCTTATGTCAAGCCTCCTAGAGGGTTGCCTTCTTATATTTTGTCTGATTTCATTCAAGTAAGTTACTTGCATTCATTCAATGAAATCAGATAAAAAAGGTTACTTGCATAGTTGTTACCAAAAAAAATAAAAAAATAAAAAAAAATAAAAATAAAAATTAAAAGAATTACTTGCATAGTTTTCTAGTTTCAACATTGCTACTATTATCCAAAAATTTGGAAAATGAAAAATCGTTTACAAATAGAATTTTTATATATTAAAAAGAAATTGCTAAAAACTATTATTAATATTGCAAAAAAATTGTATAAAAGAATATGTAAAGAATGTATTGAGATTATAAATATTATAGTTCTTATTGACAGTGCCATCAAAAGGACCATATAAAAACCATATAAAATGATGTTAGTAATATTTTTATAATTATGAAATATTATGATTCGTGTTGAGATGAAAGGATCATAAAGAGTCACGCCATTATGTATGTTTATTTTTTTTTTTTTTGTATGAAAATTATTTTTTTAGAGATAGGGGACCGAATTATCTGTTTTTAATTTTTTTTTGTCATTCTGTCTCCATGCGATCATAATTATTAGATTATATTTGTTTAGGGTACACTAAAATAGCATATTTTTTTTTTATTTTTTTTGAGTCGCATCACCTTTCTATTTTTATGCACATCTTTTATAAAAATTCAAAAAATATACTTATTTAAATCATCACTAATAATATATTTTGAAATTTTTATATGATTAGAGCACATTGAAATAGGAAGATAGAAAAATAAACAGTGTGTTTGGTTTGAGTTTTCTGGATTAAGTTTTTTGAAAACTAACTTTTTTGGTTTTTGTGTTTTTTTATTTTTAGTAAATATTTTTTAAATTTTAAACATTTTTTTTTACTTTTTTAGATGCACCTTACTTAGATGTATCTAAAAAGTAAAAAAAATTTGTGAAAAAATATTTTTAAAAATTAATAAATACATAAAAATATAAAAAATGTATTGAATTATTGTATATTTTTTTTTGTATTTTTGGTATTTAGTGAATTTTTAAAAGATTTTTTTTACAATTTTTTTTTAGTTTTTAAGTTTATTTATGTTAGGTGTGTTTAAAAAGTAAAAAAATAGCTTAAAATAAAAAAAAAATTCAGTAAAAATTAAAAAAAACACAGAAAATAAGAAAGTAGAATTTTTTGAAAAATATTTTTTTTAAAAGTGAAAACAAGCAAGGTAAAAAGTATTTTGAGACAAAGCAACACCTCCCAATTGGAAAGAAGTGAGACCCTATCCAATTAGACCTGTACGTCTTACCACTCCTCAAATAATTAAATCATGTAATTATGATTATTGAATTTAATCAAATTATAAAATGAAAAACTTAGATTATCATTGTAAGACCTGTGTTAGAAGCTAAGGACCCAACTATGTAGAACGAGACTTCTTAATTAGAGAAGCTGGTTTTATATTATTATTCATTAACTTTTGAATTAAAATGCATTACTTTTTCTTTCAATACATTGAACTAATTTGTGTATGGGACAGGTTATGTGTACAGATCATCTAAAAGAGAAGAGAGAATTAATTGAAGAAATACTCAAAGATCGAAAGCTTTCTAATATTCCCAAGATCAATCAGGTTTTTATTTGTCATTTATATTTTAGTGCCTTTTTTTTTTCCCCAGATCAAATTGTAATTTGCAAGCTTTTTTTCTTTTAATTTATATATATCTTAATATTGGCCTTTTTACATTTTTTTTATGAAAATTAATTATGATAAACTGTATGATTTTATTCTTTAAACAGCGAACGTTAATAATATGGGGAGAGCAAGATCAGATATTCCCACTGGAATTGGGGCACAGATTAAAAAGGTTCATAAACATTTAATATCTAATCTATAGTTTTTGCATTATAATTAATATTCATCTCCATTGACAAATATATGCTTTCTTTATTTTAGTAGAAAATATTTTCTTAATATTCTGGATGCTTTGTATGATAAAAAACAAAAATCAACTGAAATAAAGTAGAAATACTTTATTTAGGTCAAAAATGTTTTCTACTTTTAAAAAATAGAAAACGTTTCTGCCATCATGAATACCAACACTAGAGTCACCACTACTATCATTACCACATCACTAGCACAATCATTAGTACATTAGTTTTAAAATCATGACAAAACATAAGAAAATATTTTATGTTTCACAAAAATGTTTATTTGTAAGAATATATATATTTTTACCAAAACAAAAAAAGTGTTTTATTACAATTTTTTTGAATTTTAAAGTGTTTGCATGTATAGCCATATTGGGGAGAATGCTGAGCTAGTGATAATCAAGAATGGAGGGCATGCTGTCAACTTGGAGAGGCCTAAGGAGTTCACCAAGCACTTGAAGACTTTTCTTCATGGTTCATTTTTATCTTCTCCAACAGATAAAGAACGTGAAAGTTGATTTCAATATGTACATTTGTACACTATAAATTTCGTCTTCAGTATTAAATCAAAAATATTATGTTTGTGCGTACATTTAATTCCTTTTAAACGTTAAAATGGGATTTGAGAAATCATTTTTGCTCTTTCTAAGGTGCTGTCAAATCTTAATTTTACATTTTATTTCTGCAAGAACAATACATTTTTGATGTTATATGAAATTTGCCGAAACTTTGAAAAATGCCATGCAACCCTACATTTCCCCTTTTAGGTATGAAAATTCATTCAATACATATGCGCCTTCTTACATAACCCATACTGGAATAATGCAAAATAAGATGCATATAGTATAGACGGTCACTACAAGAAAATATACTTTTGACGACTAAAAAATTAGTCGCCAAAAGTCAAATTTTTAGTTGTTGAAATACTTTCGCGGCTAGATTGTCGTTGAGGGTAGTGGCGACTAAAGAAATTTAGTCGCCAAAACTGCTATAACATGGTGACTAATGTTTTAGTAGGCAAAAGTAAAAGGTATTAGCGACAAAATATGTTTAGTCGCTGATGAGTGAAATTGGCGACTAATATATTAGTCGCCCAAAGGATACTATTTAATTTAACTCACATCTTAAGCTATTAAATATTTTGTTACGAAAACCTCCAATATCTACGTCAACTAAATTGTTAGTGGCCAATTAGTGTTGTTTTAGCTACTAAATATTTAGATGCGGAAAGGTTGATTCTTCTTTAGCTACTACACAGGTTAGTCGTCTATGATATTAAATATGTTTTTGGCGACTAAATGTTTAGTCGCCAAAAGTGTTTTGCTTTTTTAGCTACTAAATAATTAGTCGCCAAAAGTGTTTTCAATTCGTTTTGGCTACTAAATATTTAGTCGCCAAAAGATTTATTTCTTTTTGGCTACCAATTGTTTTGTCACCAAAAACGTCATTTTATGTTTTTGTTTTGTTTTTTTCATTTTAATAAATTTTTTGACAACCTGTATGTATCCACCGCAACCTGTAATAGGTATACAAACAAATCAATATATATATATATATATATTATCATCTATTCCATAACGCATATTTCACTTACTACCATCAAACAGAAAAGAACATCTTTTAATGTAAACTTATATACAAACCAACTATATATATTCCAATTACAAATAATAACATCATACATAACAAATACATGGCCAAAACAACGTCCTCTATACACAAAATATTTTTACTATACAATGCATTGTAATGACCATTTGGCATGGTACAAAATACCATGGTAATATGTACCACGACAAAAGGTAATATATATATTCCACCAGAGCAATTAATACAAGTTCCAAAAGTATTATGTACCCCGCCAAAAATTAATTGGTAGCCTTCATCCACATTCCACACAAAAAGTAGAGGATGAAAAAAGACTTCCCAAATGTTCAAAACTGTGAATTATCCTCCGTACAAAAAAAAGGAAGATCCACATATCAATGCCAAAAGTCATCTACACAACAAAAATTACACCCATTAGTTCCATTGTAAACAAAAATTGTAAACAAAAAATTATAGCCACCTCCAAAACACAAATTGCAAGGATGTCAATTGTAATTAAAATTGTATTTAAATATAGTTTGAATTTAGGAAGTAATGGTTAAAATTTTTTAACTGCTAAAACTTGGACACATAAAATCTAGGATCTAAATCTGCACAATGCCAATATGCATTAAATGTGGAAAGGTATGTGTGGGAGCCAAATATTGTGGAGGCAATAAATCCGAATAACGGTATGAGGATAGTCAAGGACATAATTTGTATTTGGCTTCATCCTAGATGATCACAAAGCCGAATAGTCTAATCGGCATTCTAGCCAGCCAAACAAAAGTCGAATAAATAAACGTACAATGGATTAAGGGTGGGCCCGACCCTGAGGCCCAAAGGAAAAATATAAATAGAGGAGTATCAGCCAAAGAAAGGTATGTGAGAACAAGTTTAACTTGAGATATAAGCAACTAAGAGAGTATACACTAACTTATCTGTCAGAGTACTAATTCTAACACCCCCGACCGGAGTTGTGATACCCCTGTTCTGTATTATGTTAATTGGTCCCTAATACGTATGTGATTATATGTTTTGATATGATTTTGTGTGCCATTATGTGGATATATGTGGTTTTGGAACTCTATTTGTTCACCGTAGGAATATCTGTTTGAATAATCCGCTTTGGAAATTAAATTGAGGGCCTTATCGGCCACAGAACCCGAAATTGATTACGCCTTGGTGATTAGCGTAATTTTTAGAGCCTACGGTGAAATTTAATTAGAAAACTGATTCGGGTCAGATTAATCAGATTTAATTAATGAGTAATGCTCAATTATTTTATGTTAAATAATGCATGTGAGTGGGGCTATATTATAAGCCTTCTTAAGTTCAATTCTTTCCCTTTTACATGACTTTGGCTGAGCAAACTCTAAGAGAAAAAGAGGGGTCGGCTGTTAGAGAGAGAGGGAGAGAATTGTGTTATTTTGACTCAAGCTTGAAGAATTTGAAGTCCATCTCTAAATTGGACCATAGATTGAAGGAATTGGGCTTCTAGGTAAGCCATTGACTCTTGAATTCATGAAAGTAATGTGTGATCTTGTGTGTCCAAGGGTTGTTTGTACTCAAGAGCATGAGTTAAGTTGGTTTTGTTGGAATTAAAGCTTGATATAAGCATGCATGTATGAAATTGTGTTGCAATAGCATGTGTAAGCTTGAAATACATGATTCATGTAGAGTTTTAGTTGAAACTCATGTTTTGATCACCATTTGGGTTGTCTAAGATGAGAATGTGGCTAATTCATCACATGCATGTACATATTATGTGAATGGGAGCTTGAATGCATGAACTTGTATACTGTTAATGAGTTTGATGGGAGATTGGGGCATGCATGTGACTTAATTGTGAAATTGAGCCTCATTGAGTTATAAGTTGAGGCCTATACCATGTTAGCATGATTATATTTGAGATTTGAGCCATGGCATGCAAGAATTGTAGCTAGAAAATTGAATTGGAGCTCAAGAACACAACCTGGAATTTCCAGAATTTTGACGTCCGCTCGAGCGGGGGAAGTGCCGCTCGAGCAGAGAATTCGAGCTCCCAGCATTTTTGGCAGACACGGCTCCCGCTCGAGCGGGGGATTTGACACTCAAGCGGGGAGCTATGTAGACAGGTAGTTCGCTTGAGCGGCAGGGTTCACGCTCGAGCGGGGATTTGAGGTAACCAGTACTTTTGCAGGCTTAAGGGTCCGCTCAAGCGGGGAATCCCACGCTCGAGCGGGGACCCTGTTTTCTGAAATTTTGTTTTTGCATTCTGAGTTCTGTTTTCCGTTCTCTTTCACTTGTAAGCACTCTTAGGCATATGTTAAGCATGGTAAATGAGTTAATGAGATAAGAATAAGGCCTAAAGAGGGTTATGTGAGTTAAGGAACGGATGGAATTATTAATGACCCTTTTGTGTTCGTGAAATGTGTAGGGTCAAGCTCCAGGGCAAATCCACAAGCCGATCACTGTGAGTAATACCGAGATTTGAATGCTTGTGAATGTCCAACTGTTTATTCCCTTATAAGCTTTATGAATTGTTAATTGGGATTTTGGACAAAAGTCCGACATGAGTGAACGAATGGACCAAAGGTCGTTTTGATAAGAAGAATACATGGACCAAAGGTCGTTTTGACAGAACTGAATGGACCAAAGGTCGTTTTGATAGGAATGAATGGACCTAAGGTCGTTTTGACATGAATGAGTGGGCCGAAGGCCGTTTTGATACGAATGTATGGGCCGAAGGCCGTTTTGATACGAATGTATGGGTCGAAGGCCGTTTTGGTACGAATGTATGGACCGAATGCCGTTTTGACATAAATGAATGGGCCGAAGGCCATTTTGGCATGAATGGAAATCTGAATGGGCCAATGGCCAGAATGTTGAAACTACAAGTCACTCGATTTGAACTTCGTATAGTCATATATCTGTTAAATAGAAATATGAATTGGCCAAAGGCCATTTGGAACATGTTGTTCTATACCACTATGCACTTTTTGTATTTGATATTATTCACTGGGCTATCGTTCACGCTCATTCATGTGTTTGTAGGTGAGTCAAGAGAAGTCCCAACCCAGCCCCAGTGAAGTCTGCCAGGAACAACATAAGTTTTGAGAAAGTCAGCCTTGTGTCTCACGCACGAGACCTATCCTTGCCATTTTGCTATGTATTTATATTTTGTCTTGCTGGCAAGGACTTTATGTATATTTGTATATAGTCTGTTATTGGTTGACTTAGTTGGATGATCCTGTCTGTAAAGAGTTTTACCGTACTGTACTTTTGACGCGGGTTATTAACGTAAATGAGTATGGTAGTTTGAAGTGCATATGAGCACGGCTCTCTGGACAAAGTTTTTAAATTTTTCTTCCGTTTGGCCCCTATACTTTGATGAGTTATGTCTGTTTGGTTTGAGGCCGTAGGTAATCCCAGGATTACTGGCCGGTTATGTCCTTAACCCATAGGGGCGGGTTCGGGTCATGATAGAGTGGTATCAGAGCACGAGTTAATAACTCACACACCTGTCCAAAAAGAGCAATAAGCGTCTAGATAAGATCTAGGATGCATTCATGTGATAAATATGAATTTGGAAGCATTGGTTATATGCTTAAATGTTTGATATGAACAATTATATGTTATAGGTTGTGAACTACTTGCATTGCAAACTATCTGAATGTATGTGCTTCTTAGTATATACACACTTGTATATTTTTTGTATAAAAATATAATACAAGTTTAATCAGATGGTGAGAACCAGAGGTGATGAGATAGAGGAATCTTCTACTGTCAGACTGGACAGAATGGAAAGACTGATTCAGGAAATGGCAGAGGCTTTGAGACAGCAACATGAGTGGCAACAATAGTGGCAGCAACCACACCCGCCACCTCCACCTCCGGTACCACCCGTGCCAGATAATCAAAATGATGACCGGATAATAGCTCTCACCAAAGAATTCAAGAAAATGAAACCACCGCAGTTCCACGGGGGATTAGATCCATTGAAAGCCAAAGCATGGGTCCTCGGCATTGAAAAACTATTTGAAGTGTTCCCCTGTTCAGAGACTCAGAAAGTGCTTCTAGCCACTTTTATGCTAG